TGGACAGGGTTTCATTATGTAGTCCAGAGTGGCCTTGAACTCCAGGTGATCCTCCAGCCTCAGCCTCCTGAGTGCTGGATTACAAGTATGCACCACCACCCGCAGCAGGGACAAGTGGCTCCTTGAGGCCTAGGGCATAAAGGGCTTCCTTTGCCTCCCCTCAGCCCAGATGAAAGAACAGGATATGCAGAGGCCTGGTTTCCTTCTCAAAAGAAAGGCCGCAGTGAGCTGAAGATGGCTAGGTGATAAAGCCCGGGAGCAGGAATCTGCATTCTCTCTCTGGTTCCTCCTCCTCCCCTCTGTTCGTTAGAATAAAAAGCCTGCTTCCACCTGTGGGGCGCTGGTGGGGCGGCTAACATGCCCTGCTTCTCTCCGGAGCCCACTTTGGGAGCTCCTGCTTCTCTTTTCGCCGGGGTCTGCGGCCTCCACCCTTGATGTGATGGGCAGCGAGCCGACCGCCGCGAGCGGACGAGCCCGAGCGGCTGCGCCTGGGTGGTCCGAGGCCAGGCAGGAGGTAGTCTGGCCGCGGACCGCACGGGACTCCAGGGACATCCCCACGGCTGCCGGGACGCTTTAGCACCCCGGAATCTCCCTTCTTATCTGTTTGTGGCATCAGCTGCCTATTACCATTTTTATTAGTAAAAGGAAAAGATACGGTTCGGGGAGCTGCGAGCTCAGCCTGCCTCCCCGCTGGAGAGAGCGCCCAGGCCCAGCCGTCCCCACCGCTTCTCTGAGGTCACTCGGCAGTACCGAGGCGTGAGGTGGGGACCTGCGCGGTGTGGAGCCGTCTCGGGCCCACTGCAGGTCGTCCTGGGGCCCTGATGTGAGGGGAGATTCCCAGCGACAGCAAATACTCAGGCCTTGGTTTGGGTCTTTTGTCTTTCTTTTTTTTTTTTTTCTGTTACCGGGAGTAGAACTCAGGACCTTGCCAGGCGCTTGTGCCGCTGAGCTGTCTTTCTCTTCTGGCCGCCTTTATTCTAGACGGGCAGCAGGGTTTCAGTACCGTCTAGAATTGGGTCAGCCATTTGGGACTTTCAAGGCATTCTGAGGCGTCTTTGCCAGCCAGTGTAGAGTGCGAGGTTCTCCAGCCCTTTGTCACAGAAACGGTTTGGGTTAAGAGATTTTCCGAAGAGGGAGGCACCGCGGGTGTGTTGGAGGAGCCCTGCTGTAAATTGCTCAGGAATGGCAGCGCTTGTGCTAGCTATGCAGCTGCTCCCCAGCAGAGTGTTAGTTACCTGTGACTTAGGAAAAGGTGGTTTTATTGTGGTACGCTGTGGCCTGTGTGACCGAGAGTGCACTCTGATCCATGCTCTCTCTCCTTAAGAAGATGCTTCAGAATAACTTTGGCCACGTCAATATCCATAGCTGCTCTCCTGGCGCTTTTCTGGGTGGGTTACACATGCAGTTCCCAGCCTTCTGTACCCACTGACTACGCAGCTGCTTGGCTAACACTGGGGAGTGTTTTGAGGTTTAATGTCCCCTCATTTTGGCCAACAGTTCTTGGTTTATTGTAAACCAATTGTGTTTCAAAATATTGGTCAAATTTTGTTTGTTAAAAATTCTTTTTTCCCTCCTACCCCCTCCATTTTTCTTAATTAGAAAAAGTATAGCCGGGAGTGGTGGTGCCTGCCTGTAATCCCAGCACTTGGGAGGCTGAGGCAGGAGAATCACTATGAGTTCAAGGCCAGCCTGAACTACCAAAGGCTTGCCTTTGTGATTTTCTTGGTGGGAAGTATTGTCCCTAAACTGGCTTTTTTCCATACTAGAGGCCTTGAACAATAGAGCTAGAACAAGAGGTATAAACTTCTGACCAGTTATATCTAAATTTTATTCTTTGTTTACAAATGAATTTTATCAGTATGTCTTTGACATACATAATAATCACATTTATCATAGGGAATTTGTACCTGTACATAACACAATTTTTTTTTACTCATTCTCTTCCCCTCCTACTTATTTTTTTCTTTTAGACAGGGTCTTACTATGTAGTTCAAACTGGCTGTGAACTCACTTTGTAGCCTAGGCTGGCCTTGAACTCACAGTGACCCTCCTGCCTCTGCCTCCTGAGTGCTGGGATAACTGGGATTACAGGTGAGCACCACCATGCCCAGCAGTTCTATCTAATTTTAGCACAATGTAAAGTATCTTAAAACCTGAGGCAAAAGCTTTTAAGTTGACTAAGACGTCCAATAATTTAAGACAGAAAAAAGCTTCAGAAAATTGAAAGTCAAGTAGACAATTTCCTTTTTTTTTTTTTTTTTTTTTTTTTTTCGTTTTTCTTCCTGTACCAGGGATCAAACTCACGACCTTACACTTGCCAGGCAGGTGCTTTGCCATTGAGCTAAATCCCCAGCCTGACAATTTGGATTTAGCTCAGCAGCAAAGTGCCTGCTTGGCAAGTGCAAGGTTGTGAGTTCGATTCTCAGTAGGGGAGGGGAGAGATAACTGTTTCTCACCTAGTACAACTTGGAATGCTACCTTCAGATATGCAAATTTAGGACAAAATTTTGCAAGTCTTGTTTTGTGTGTGGTGTATGTAATATCTATGCTTAATGTGAATTGTATGTAATGTCTATGTGTGTACCTGGGTTTGTATATCATTTGGACAGTACCAAGTTACTTTAAAAATAAGACCTCTC